AAATTAGTGTTCCCTTTGCTCTGACAGCTCCGAGGCCAATAACCCGAATTCCTTTTAATCACGTCTGTGCAAGTATATATACGCAAGCTTTTACTTTGTCGAGTATTCAATACGCTTCCAAAGTCATTCGCGACGTCAAAAGTAAGCTTCCTCTCGCGATTCGCTGAAGGGGAAAGAAGGCAGAGTCAAGATCCTTCGACCCCGAATCGTCCTCGTTATTTTACTCGGAAAAGTAAGATTGAGGAATCTAAGTATCCGAAACTCGCACAATTACTTGCTCGGATCGGGGGATGCCTGGGTATGAAAATTGTTCGCAAAAAGTGATGGAGGAGACGAGGTCAATGGGACCACTCGAATTCGCCGGTTCCTTAAACCGTTCAGGGATGGAGGAGGAAATGGTGATTATGCGGGTTATAAATTGAGTTAGGAGCTCTGTGCTCTGTTATGCGTGTCTCCGGTGTGGGTGACCAGAGCGACGCGTCGATAAGTCTCTGATTTATTTGCAAGGCGTTGATCATTAAAAGCTCTGGTTTCTACTTTTTTTTTGTACTTTTGTTGTTCATCGTTGGATTTCACGATCGCTGATGATCCCCAGGCGTTTTTGTTCGACTCCTTTGCAACTACATTATTACTTGACGAGTGAATGGTTACAATAATACAAATTTATTTAATTGATCATTTATTTTTATATCATTTTGTTTTTCTGTGAATTCAGTATTAAAATATAACAAAAAATTCAATTTGGCATACTCTAAAATCAGAATAAAGTCTTTTTAACGTACTAAGTTTTTTTAATTTTCCGCACAGCCCGATCATTTTAGGGGTATTGATGAAACTCAAATTAAATATTTATTTTTCTTATAAAAAATATGTATTTTGCTTCTTGTCTTAGGCAGATTCTAGCTGGAGTTTCTTTTTTTAAATAATCATCTCGTAATCAGCCATGGTCATAAAATGTTTAAAAACAGCCCTGACGAATGTAGATCAACGCCATCGGGCTGCTCCAACTCCGACTTCCCGATTCCCATAGCCACCACAATTTCCTTAAAACGCGTTCCCGTTAACAGCCTTCATCCATAATTTCACAATCTCTCGCTGGAAGGAGCGAAGCATTTCCCGAAGAAAATACCGTGTGCGCCAAAGAAAACGCAACCGCGAGCTTGTCAAGCTTGAAATTGCCCAGGAAGCGTCTGGCGCTATGGAGCGTGACGCGAAATTTTCCTTCAGAGAGCCATTTTTAACCTCCCGGCCCCTTCGACTTCTCGCCCCACGCTTGTATACATGGAAATTCTCAAAAAGTACACGGCCAAGTGCAGTTTAGAAGCCGCAGCGAGAGCCTCGAGTTCTCACCTCTCGAGTACTACTCCAAGGGATGGAGAAAAGGAAGACCTCACAGATATAGGAGACGCGACTTTGTTGAGGTGAATTCTTTGGTGAAGAGATATCCGAAATTAGGGTCAGGTGGCAAGACGATAGCCGGACTGCAATTAAAGCAGGAATAGGGTCGATGCGCAAGTTCTTACGGGGTGCAATAGCGCTGATTCCGCAGGGCAGGGAAACTTTTATATCAGGACTGTTCGAGCTTCCTTTCCTTTTTACATTCCTCTTGATTTTGGTTTTTACGCTCGAGTTTGGGAAAAAGTCAGCTGAAGGTTTTATCGGCAAACTAAAATTTATCATATTTCTATTTTAACCAAAATTTATGTTGTACCAAAGATATGTGAAATTTCGTGATTGTTCATCTCATTCGCGAGGAGCGCCCGAGCGGTTTTCAAATGAAACCACCACTTTGTGGAAGTTGAAAGCTTTTACCAACTTACAGCCGGTATATTAGAACCCACTGTGGGAATGGAATTCTCTTAATCAAACATTAAATATTCGCTCTGGACGGCTTGGCTTAATGGGATTGGAAATGTTGTTGAAATCAAGAACACCAGAACTGCATTTCGCCGTTTCAATTTGTATGGTCTTTACTTTGATTGAGAGCAGTGAAAACTGCGAGATCCCGTTTACCCGGTACTCGAGGACTTTGGCTAAAACTTTTAAAACTCGTTAAGTATTTTTACTTGGTGCAAAACGTAATTTGATAAATTGTTTTGAGTTTAATCAAAGGAATTAGCACTTCGTTCACAGCACTAAATATAGGGATGATGAGTACCAGAATTATTCAAGACTTAACAAAATACTTTTCTTCTTGAGAGTAAATTTAAAATAGTCATGATTCTTTGCCGTCAGGAATTAAAGTGTGCAGTCACTTGACTGAGGCCAAAATAACCATTTTCGTTTAACTAACAGGTTTTATTCCTTTTTTTTTTATACGTTATAAGAAATATGAATTTTGTTTATCACATAAATAATGTTTTCCTTAAACCAACTTTGAAAGATACATGGTAATCTTTCTAGACCTCGAAAAAATCTCGTACACACCTCCGACTACGTGTAACTTCATCTTCGTGAGAGTTTGTATCTCTACGTGTATCAGTATCTCAACACGTACCCGTATGGGACATTAAATATGCATTAGAGGATCCACGTGACTTTCCCAACCCTTTCAATCGATAAACCGTAAGGGTAAATAAACAGCAAATTTCATCCGATACTGTTATGTGTATTTTCGAAAATCTATTTTTAATGCTCTTCAAGATCTCAGTCGCAAAAAAAAACTCGATGTTCAATTTGTATGAAAATATAACGAAATAAACACCCTATAAATTAAAGTTAGCATAGTTTCCGTCAAAACGCCGTTAGCTAAACTCCAAGAATAACTTTATTCTCGATGTGTCACCAGCACGATAACTGCAATCCGAAAGCTTTAGGGTACGTAGAAAAAAAAAAAAAAAAAAAAGTTCACGTGACGGTGACACAGTGTAAATTACGAGCCAATTTTCCAACGCTGAGTCATCAAGTCCTCCCGTCGCGTGAGAGAGAGGAGTGTCCACATTACCAGGAATAATCGCCCACGACCTGCAGTTAGGAACCCTATTAACTAATTAAAACCATCTAACGCGTAAAATAATCGGCATTTCCAACCAGCAGCGCCTCTCACCAATCACTCGCGTCGAACAGTCTAACGGGGGGTATACGTGATTATTGGATCCGACGTTGAAATCAAAGTCAGGGATCTCGGTAATCCATTCATCCACACAAAACGGCTTGATCGCGAGACACGGTAAGCTTAGGGTTTCAAGAACGCACTCGTCAGGCTTGCACAGAGAGGGACCTTCCCAAGAGTGGCGGGACTACTATTTATCTCGTTGGTTGCGTCGGCCCGCCAGACTGGCGCTAATTGATAGCTTACCGTTCGATGGCTAGACGCATCTATCGTGCTGTCGCAGAACGGTGTGCTGTGTCTGCGTATGGTGCGTTGAGGTGGGCTTATGAGAGCACGAGTAGGAACAAAATACTTAATGTATTTTTTTTTTTTTTTTTTCCCCAAAAAAGGATAATCATTCCGAATGAGACAGTATTTAGAAATTGTCGAAGTTTTTCTGGAAAACCTTGTGCTCTTGATTCTGGGAGATGTTTTCTTTCCTTCCGTGTACATGGAGGTCAAAAAACAAAAACTCGTTGTTGACATGGTTGTCTTGTGGTTGGAAATTTCCACTTAAATTCGCTCACCAGGGAGAAACTTGTTTGAAAAGAAAGGGTCCATCTTTTACAGTAGTACAACTCGATTTTGGTCAGACATGGCAAGAACGACCTTCAATTGATTGAAAGAGAAACAACAAACTATCTTTTAGTGAAAAAATTATGACTTGAACTGATAAAATTGATCCAAGGAAAAATCCAATGAGTGACGGTGTGAGCAAATATATCGTCGAGATTGAGCGATAAACGTAAATAGTTTGTCAGGACGGAAGAGGAAATCACGGCAAACAGTGCACGCTCGAGCGAGAAAAATATGAAGCATTGTGCACGTGTGGAAGACGATCAAGCTGATTGCACCCTCAATTACACCGGCGAGGCGCTCTTTGTGCGGGGAGTTTGACGTAGACCCCCGACACGCTGTTAATTAAAACGGCCTGCAAGCTCCCTCGACCCTATCTCGCGGTCGACCTTTAACTTTATGAATACCGAAACAACGGACGAGGATGGGAGAGAGAGAGATGAGACAAAGGAAATTGCGCCTCAATGGCGACGCGCTCGATCGGACCAAAGAGGAAATGAGCTGTGTGCAATGTGTCTTTTTCCCCGAGAGCGATCGATCGAAAGACGGCTTGGCTTGCGTTCGGATGATCAAGTGGATTAGCAAGAAGGGGGCGTGTTCTGCCTCGTTAATGATCCTTCGTCCCGGATTGGCCTTCGTTTGAGCTTTACTGCCGGCCTTTGTATCTGCTCTACCTATTTTGTATATACTTTTGTATTTTTGTTGTTATACGTGGATAATCTTTTTTTTCCCTTTTTTTTTTTTCTCGTCAGCTCAGTTTTACAACTCAGGGTAAACGTTTTCGATTGGACGACATTACATTATGTTTTATTATGAGTACAAACTTTGGGCCATGAATAAAACATCTTGCATCTCCAAGTGGTTGTCCTAAATTGAATATTTTCCGGGTGTTTGCGGGTGCGGAAACAGCAGGTGTAGGTACGTAAATGCTGGAGCCAAAACCCGACAAAACATCCCGAGAGTTCTACTCGGCCCCAATGACTTTTGGCCGGAAAAGTTTTTTTGCTCGAAATTTTTGAATTCACTCGGAGACCGAAGGAATTTCAACATACGAAAACGTCCTTTTGGACATGTTTCGTTCTCATGGAGCTCCAAGAGCTCTCATCGTAATTGGAACACCACTGGCGCTGTAATTTACAGATGAGACAATAATCATAGTAACAGAGACAGAGTCGGTGCCTGGAGCACCCGAGTCGGGTATCAATTCGAACATCGAAATTGTTGCCACGTGTAATTACTCCTACAAAAAAGTCCTTAGACCGCCCGATAATGATAATCTTCTCTCTTCTCTAAGCACATCTGTAGTAAACACAAACATGTTGGCGATGTCCAGGTACGGCAGTGGCGAGGACAGGAGCTTCGCCGAGTCGAGCCTGATCGACGACACCCTCAACGGGAACCCACCGCAGAAGACTCCGGAGGACGTGACACCTCGCCCCCAACTCGACCACGCCAACGTTGGAAAGTACGTTTGCGCGCGCAGTGCATACACATACATCCTACCTCTTTGCTTTGCTCTCGTGTATTGTGTGCTCGCTTTGTAAGATCTTGGATGACTCATCCACTATTTAATGCTACACCAGATAAAGTTTATACGTGAAGCTTTTAATATCGTACTTGTAGTCACTTTGTGCATCGTGAGTTTTTTTTTTTTAATTGTTCTAAAACTATATTGTTTTCCACATAATTTTATACAGCGACATTTTATCACCATGTGCACTAAATGTGAGCACAGAATGTCACACAATAGCGTATATGCAATTTATTTTTAGCTTTTGCAACAAATAAACCATGATGCACACGAATGACTGATACTTAGACCCATTTTGTAATGTATATTCCGCACATATCCTTGTACGTAAATGCGTGTGTTTGATTCTCCTGTCGTCGTCTTTGTGCTTGTATCGCTTTAAAAATGTAAACTCGCTTTCGTAGATTAAACAAAATACCTTCGTATGTGATGATAGTTGTAAGGCTGATCAACACACAACCTTTGTAAAAATTGTACGTACTGTGATTATGAAAGAAAATTCATTCACTGTGTAAAACTGCTGTGAATTACCTTCCCTCCCGAAAATTGTTAGGTAACGTATGATGTTTTGAGTGGCTTTGTGCTCGACAAATTCAAAGGTTCGATGGCAGTGGTGGCTCAAAAGATCCGTGGATAATGGAAGTCGAGTGCTCTCGGTGCTCTTGAAAAAGCAGCTCAAACAAAACACTCGTCTGTCGTTTGACGCCGTTCGATCTGCGTTTCCACATTGTATTTACATAAACTCGCTTTACCTTCAGCCTTGCTTTGACAACAGTTTTCTTCTTTTGGCTTATTTTTCTGCGCTTGACGCTTGCTTCACGCTTTTTCGGCAGCAGAACTTGGAGTCAAGAGTCTGCCTGACCTGTCAGCGACTCGTACTACTGTGGCTCGCAAGATACTGTTTGACTAAAAGTACATTTTTATTCCATAGTAATTTAAATTTTTTTAATTTTCTCGGTAGGCGAATTCCGTAGTAATTAAAATTAAAGAAAGAAAAATTCGTGGATTGAAATTTTTATGAATTACGCGATTTTCGAGTATTAGCATTAAAAAAAACTAATACATATGTAATCACAGGTCAAATCTTTTTTTTACTTCTCGTCGTATTGAAATAACAAAAAATAAAAAACACCAAAGCAAAATCTTTCCACCCATAAATCCCACGCGTCTCGAGACCCGCTCGAACCAACCCAGCACCCCTTACATCATTTTCCAGACTCCCATCAATCAGCCAATGCCGTAACCGCGAAAACGCATCGACTCTCCCCCTTAATTAGAAGCTTTTCATCACCGAGAAACCGGTAAGGAAGCTTCGCACTTTCAACTGCACAGCACAGAGGCAGGAGCTCGGGGGCGAGGAATTTTCCCGGCAAAACCCTCGGATTAGCCCCACTGACCCCACCCGACCTTTGCGGCGAGTGCCACCGGGCTGGGAACGAAGGGCTACCTTCGTCTAGCTTCTGGCTACGCGGAATTTCTTAATTGTCGAGCGCGTACCTTATACCGAATTGTTATCCACCACGAAAGTAGTGTCAACTGGGTTCGCACGAAGAATACGTTGAAAAAAAAAACAATAATTTGATTTTTGGACAAAATTTTGTATGGAAAAATTTAACAATAAAAAGGGGGTTTATTTAGCTTTGCTTGAGCTTTTGAGTTGTGACTGCCAAGTAGAGTAAAATTCAAACTTTGTTAATATTAAGCCATGATGTATATTTATAAGATTAATGACACCTGTACCTACCTACCTACCACAAATCTTTCACAAACCATTTACATCTGAGAGCACATTTACAAGGCTTGCAATGGCTTCTTTTAAAATCGTTTGAGATCGTGCAAAGTCTTTGAAAATTTTTGAAGTCGTCCAATAATGTTATAGAAACATTCAGAGTCGGGAAAAAGTTACTAAATTCACACGAATTACGTTGAAAGATCTCAAACACACTTAAAAGTGTTATAACTTCTGAGTCCTTACCACGTTTCAGCGTATCTTATTGAGATTTGGAATGGCACAGCCTATCCTTGCTTCCGGTATTCCTTGAAAATAAATTTCCCATTCAAATTAAGTAACTTTTCCCTTAATCATGAGCTTATGAATATTCCTTGCCTTTCCAAAGATCAAAGAGAGTACCCGAGTCAATAAAATATAGGCTACTTTGGCAAATAAATACCATCGGTTCTTCTCGAATGCATAAATAATATTTTGTTAAATCTCTACCTCGGCACGTTTTCCAATTCCTCCTCGACAAACCAAACTCACTTCACCGAATCATACAAAAAGCCTAACGTTACCAACTCCATCCATCCCAACTAGCTCTTTCATCAAATGATTTACTTTAAAAAAATAACAACCTAACTTACCACCGCATAACGCGATTCCATTTTTCTCTTTTTGTTTGTTGCGAGCGCAGTTATTGCGAGAAAACCGAGAACAACCTAAAGTCAGACATGGGCGGCGTACCGCACATTGAAGGCGTAAACAACGAGCTGTACGCCAACGTGCCCGTCAAGAGGCGCCACCCCAAGCAGGAGAAACAACAGCCCCAGCAGATCTTGCAGAACAACGTCGACCAACCGGAGAAGCCGGTCGACGAGAACAGCGTCGATTCCGAGGACAAAGACGAGAACCTGCCCCCCGGCTGGGAGAAACACGAGGGTAAGAAGCTTTTTTTCAACAGTCGCAAATGAGATTGAAGCTTGCGGTTTTTCATTCGTCTCCCACTTTGGGTTACAGACAAAGATGGCCCGTACTACTGGCACATCAAAAGCGGCACGATTCAGCGCGAACCACCGGAGGCTCGTCTTTCGAAACCCGAGTCCCGCAGAAGCTTCATCAAGGACAATGACAGTGTGAGCTTTTTATACACGAATTCATAAAAAATAATGCCGAAACAAAACAAAGTGCTTCCCTTTGTTCGCTCTTAATGAGCAGCGTGTTCTGCAAAGAATGTATGCATGTAATATTTTTTGAACGAATCGAGAAAAATTAACGGGGTTCATTTGCATTTCCGACTCGTCCAGGTGAACAATTTCAACTCCATCGGGGGACTGGTGAACACCGTGACGCGGAGCAACACGAGCTACGCACTGGACCAGGAGTTAGAGAACAAGAGAAAAGAAGAGCTGGCACTCAAGTGAGTATATATTAACATGTGTAGCTTGGAAACCTTGCGCTTTTTTTTTTTTTTTTTTTTTTTTTTTTTTTTTTTTTTATTGAACGCAAGCCTTCGCTCGTAGACGGCGTAGTTACCCGGCACGCACCGACTCGGACGACAGAAACAAGACGATAAGGTTCGCGGTGCGGTCGCTCGGTTGGACGGAAATAGCCGAGGAGGACTTGACGCCCGAGCGCAGCAGTAAGGCCGTCAACAAGTGCATCGTCGATCTCTCGCTTGGGAGGAATGACTTGCTCGACGTCGTCGGACGATGGGGTGATGTGAGTTTCTTACTCTGAAAATGTTTTTTTTCTTCTTTTTTTTTTTTTTTTATCTGTCTCTTTACGTGATCGCTCGTCCTTTCTCAGGGCAAGGATCTGTTTATGGATTTGGACGAGGGAGCCCTGAAACTGATAGACCCGGAGAATCTCACGGTGCTCAATACTCAGCCCATCCACACTCTTCGAGTTTGGGGCGTGGGTCGAGACCACGGACGGTAAGGATTCGCAATACAAGTCCATGATTTTCAGATTCGGGCTTTTTTGACTATTGTTTTTTATGTATATTGTATAAAATTTATCAAAGTACTTATATATTCTTGATTGTTTCGATCCAATGCTATGAACAACACTAATGTATTTGTGACATTTTTGATTTTTCTTCTGCTCGCTCCTCTTCTGGATGGATATCCTTTTCGTTACAGGGAAAGGTAATTGTTGTCTTTTTGGCTAAAGGAGCTCACAAGTTGGCGCTCGATCGCTCAAAAATAACTCTCAATGTCCGAGACTTTGGGATAAACCGCATCATTATATCACGAAACCCAGTCGATTGGGTCAAACGAGTTTTTTTCGAGCGAAAAGAACGCCGGGGGGTTTATCACGATACACGATATCTTGCAAAGTCATACGTTCTTGAGGCATCGTTAAGTTCAGGTCACATTACGTCGACTTTTGCGACATATCGCACAATATTTGCAAAAAGACCCAAGGGCGTACCAAAATGGATCAACGTATTTTTCAGGGACTTTGCGTACGTGGCGCGTGACCGTAGCACGCGCAAGCACATGTGCCACGTGTTCCGTTGCGACATACCGGCCCGCACGATCGCCAACACGCTGCGCGACATCTGCAAGAAGATCATGATCGAGCGCTCGCTCCACCAGAGTTTGGCCAAGCCGGTCGACATAAACGGCCGCACAAACTCGGTGACCCGACCGACTAACCTGCCCACCGAGCATCGGCGCTTCCACAGAAATGGACAGGCGCTCGTCAGTAAGTATATCCACATCGTATGCACGACAACTTTGCAACGGGACCTTTTTTTTCTTCAATGTATGTACTAGCGTTTATTTTCGACGCTCAATGTGCGAAGCTCCACTTCACGTGACAGCACAGGGTATGCTGAGCGATCGGTTTGAACAAAAAGCTTGAAACTTCGCAAACGAATTTGTGTACAATTGCACAAATAAGGGCACTCGAAGGTGAAACCCTCGTTTTTCTCAGATACTGTACTTTTTTCACCTGCTATACTCTATTTTTACATGCATTCACTGTGTGAAGTTCAACTTCTCCTGCCTACTCGGAGCGTGCAAAATATCAAATTCTAGAACTGTGTACAAAATTTTGTGTTTTGCACAGTAATGCTTGACATTACCATTTTGTACACTTACGTTTGCCAATTCACTTTTTAACTTTTTGACCTTAACGTGCAAAGAGAGCCTGATTTGATCACAAGTTAAAATGCGATGATTTTTCAAATGATTTTGACCTTTACGTCGCTCAAGCGTTAAAATTTTCATCAATCACCTGATTCACGCAATTCGTGCGTATTATAACGTTCTTGGACCTACGATAAACTTGTACACAACGAAAAAATGACATATTTCATATACCTTATCCAAATCTGCCCTCTCACTACCGCATTTATTATGACACTCTGTACTGTAACTGTGCGTAACTCATCAAACATTTAAACTGCGTCACTCTCGCTAACATCCCGCAAAGAAAGCTTTTCGAAAAACCCGACTGTTTATCAAAGCAGGGAGTGACAAAGAGTCTAAATATTTCATCAGTTCCCAGCCGGAATGGTCTGCCTTTCCACCAAGTAACAAAGAGAACATCACAACACCCTCAGTCCTACCTCTTTCCAGCTAGTTTTTTCCCCTAAAAACAAAGCTCGCTCCTCGTTCCGCGTAATTAACGGGAAAGTCTCGAAAGTGTAACCCTTCGCATCCCCTTTTTTTCCTTCTTCAAAGCAGGCAGTTGATTCTTTTTTTTTTTTTTTTTCTTTTTTCACAGCACAATCCTTCCCGACGCCGATGGAGGAGCCGAAAAAAGTGCTGCGCGCCCAGTATCTCGGATCGATCCAAGTATCCCAGGCAACGGGCATGGACGTGCTCAACGACGCGATTGAACAGGTCGCCACCAACACGCCTATCAATCAGTGGCGCAACGTCAACGTCGCCATCGCCCCCAGCATGATCTCCATTCTTACGCCAAACGTACGCATACAACTTGAAACGAACGCTCTAATTTGGAAACTTTTCTTACGCTACTCCAAACAATCTTATTTACTACTTGCTATCTGGGCGTTATCGTCTTTTTTGATCACAAAGATAATGTTTCGTAGGATAAATTTAGGTAATTTATATTTTCTGGGAATTACTTGTTTTTCATGAGTAGTGTTGAAAAAAATAAACTAAGAAATTAACTTTTAGCCCTGGCTGTATAATGTACTATTTCATGATACCCTGGCAGTAAATTCGCGTTCCCATTCTAATTTTTTGCTGAAAAGTAAATTTAAGTATTCAAGTCCACTCATGCTGTGCAGTCTAACGCACTGCCTAGCTCGTTCTTATTACTTTTTCCATTGATGATAGAACGTCTTTACTCCCTCAAAATCCAGTAGGTTTATATTCCACAAGCTTTTTTAACTATAAAACCTAGCAAAAAGTTTCAGAGTTCCAAAGTTATTAGAGCTCAAAGCATGCATTTGACTTGGTTTTAAGGTTATTGGAGCTCGGAGCATGTAACCTACTCTATTTTAAGGTTATGAAAGCCTGAAGTATACGACTTACTGGATTTTGAGGTTACTATAAATACAAACACACAAAACTTACTAGATTTCACAGCCAATCCAGGTGTAGCTTTTGTTCGATTTGGTTTTATTTTTGAGGGCTTTTTAATCGATTTAGATGGATTTTCAAGATAATTGTGGTGGCTTTTCAGGCTAAACCAAATCGATTTGAATCCACCGTAAAATATTTATACAATTACTTTGAGATGAATGAATAATTAATTTTAAATCTTGACTACGTACCTCCTGAATTTGAAGTTTAAAGGAGTTACTTTAAGGTTAATTGTTAAATAATCTTCAGCTTCGCCTCAGTTAGTAATTGACATGTATACGGTAATGTACCACTTTTCTCCCTCATGACGTCATACAGTATTTATCAATCTAATGTAAGCTACCGAGTTTTTACAGGCTGAATTCATAACTACGTTCAAACAAGAAAAATTTCGTAGAAGATAAGATATTCATAAAAGTGTTATGTTGCAAGTGAATTTTGCGAGATGTTGTATTATGACTCTCATAGCTGTTTATGGACTGATAAGAAGTTAAAGCTAATTTTTTTTAATCCTATACAACGCAAAAGTTTGAGGACATAAAAATCTACCCTGGGTGGGTTCTCCCAAGCCTACCTAAGTGAAAAATCGAAAAGCGAAATTTTTGTTCATAAAATTTAAAAAGCGATGTAGTAGTCATTGCACATGTGGGCCCTAGAAATTATAAAAAAAAAATGTTTACCTTTCACAGTATTTTATAGACTTTTATGTGATTTAGCAATTTTGCTCTTTCATTAAGAAATTTCTATTGAAACTCCCACTAAGATAGTTATCTGGATTTTTAAAAGATTGGATGTTTACGTTAAAAAAAGTATTTAGAGGTTATGCCATTCAACTATGATCGAACCATAGTTTTATTGTTTATTCTTAGTAAAATTATATGCTGAAATCCGCACTACCCAAGGGAGGCTCAAACCCTGATTCGATTCAACATTGAAAAATTTTATGCCGTACAAACAATTACTATAAGTAAAGATTAAAATTAAATTTCATTCAAATATTCTGATTCAGGAGGACAAACTAATAGTCGAGTGTCGAGTGCGTTATCTGTCGTTCCTGGGCATCGGACAGAACCCAAAACAATGCGCCTTTATAATGCACACAGCCCAGGACCTTTTCTTCGCGCATGTGTTCAACAGCGAGCCCAGCAGTGGTGCACTATGCAAAACGATTGAGGCCGCCTGCAAGGTAACGAGAATAAACGATTTTAAAGGTTTTTCAAAAAAGAGGTTATGTTTGTAAAATGCCATCCGTTCCATACCTTCCTTCTTTAAGAAGAAAGAAGATCAATATTTTTCTAGAAAATCATTAAAAATATATCGTGTAGCAGCAGTGAAATCATTAAATAAACATGTAGTTAAAAACTAGTTCACTATATTGTAATGTAATATGAAAGCACTCTAACCTCTTTAAAAACTCTCATCCAGCATTAAACTTGCGGTAATAGTGTTACAATTATAAAATGTAAAATCTACCTTCTATAAAATGTTGCATTGTGGTAAAAACATCATACAAATACATACAAATCATCAATAAAAACATGAAACAAAAATTTCAGCTAAGGTACCAGAAGTGTCTGGACGCCCACCCGCCGGGTTTTCGGAACGCCAGCAGCGCCAACACGCCGAGCAGCCGCGGCCTGGGAGCAACTTTGAAATCGTTCGTCGGCTCGATCACCGGCCGGAAGAACAAGCAGAACGAGTCCTGAGATGAGGCTCTCTCGCTCCAGGTGTGTAGTAGCTCATCCACGAGATGTAAGACCGCTTTAGCCGAGACGATGCCGATGCCGATGACGATGCTGAACGCCGGACGCGCTGCTAGGTCGAACAACGCCACGAGACCCTTACCTCTCATTCATCGCTATGGCCGTTACACTTCTTCTTCTTCTTCTTGCTCTTCTTCTTCTTCCTCCTCGCAACCGACCGCACACGACCGGACGGCTGTTTAAGGAAGCGAGGGAAAGAAAGTTCTCAGAGATACGATATATTGCGATAGGTTAGATTTTCAAAAGACCACAACAACTATATAATGAAAGTAGTGTTATATATACTTACCAGCCAACAATTATCTCTACATAAAGTAGTCACTGATGACAACAACAACAAAAAAACAATACAGTGGCATCTTCGTGAGGTTTGCACTTGACGGGATGTATCTTTAACGATTCGGTTGAGACTTGATAGTTTGATTAAAGTCTGCGGTGACTCGGTCTGTAAAGCTTCATGGGCTCGTGGTTTTTTACTTCTTAAATTCTAAATTTATAAGTATGTACATTGACAACAATCCAATGATACAAAAGGTAACATGTAGAAAACAGTTTTTTATTAGATCACAGATAGAAATATTCATGTTAAGTACTAAGCTTGAGTTCATCCCCAAGAAAGACTTTTTTTTATTCTCAAATGAATCAATCGTTGATAATAAACACCTACGGGGTGGATAAAAATTTGAATAAAAAATCGGGAACACTTTGTCCACAGGTGGTACTGTGTTCCTATATTTTATGATATTAAATTATAGTATAACGAGTTTTGGATTTAAAAAATGACAAGAATTATCATTAAAATAAAATTATTTTGCATTATATTTGATTACAAACTCACATGTAGGTTTATAATTCATTATAAAGGTAAATTTAATTCATCTTTAAATTACACTCTTTATATTGTGATGTGCTTTGAAAGACCATCATGCATTAGAAGAGTTACTGGATAGCACAAAAAATACGATATATTTTATTACATTTTGTGATTTTCGATTTTATTAAATTTTATGAGTAGAATATCTATACTTTTGGAGGTCGATTTTCGGATAAAAGATGTATTGTATACTTGCCACAAATAGCACATAAATTTAATTATCAACACGTTTTTCTATTCTTGTATATTTCGTGCTGTCCAAAAACTTTTACAACTTCCAAGTGTCATTCATTCAAATTTTATCACAAAGCGAAAACCTTATTTATACGAAAATGATAATTTTAATTAAATAACACAGATAATTATCTGTGTTTGAGGTGCATTTTTTACGTTTAAATAAAAGTGCTTTCGCTGATTTTTAAATTTAAACTTTAGCTCACTTTTTTCCATCGTCACACTATTGCCACCTGCTGCCACATGTTCCCTATCGTTTTATGAATATTAATATAAAATAACAAGAGCTTTTGAAAAAATAACCATGTGCAATTAAATCATTTGCATGGTCATATCAAAATTTTTACTTTCATTCATAAAACAGTAAAAACAATGTTTTGCTTTTACACTGAGTTAATTTTTTCGAATTCATTTCGTACCAAAAAAAAAAGATTCCAATCGTTCATACATTATTTCATTTTAATATTATTTCAAATAACTTATTTCCATTAAACTCATTCGATTTTTCGTATTGAGAAAATATTATTGAAAAATATACTTATATATTTTTCATGTAGTCATAACTCACTATTTTCGATAAATAAAATTCTAATTTTAAAATCAAGAGTGCAAACTAGCTTGACGCCAATCACATCCAAGGGTAGTAATTAAAATGCACGCACGCAACGCTTTTTACATTTTCTAGATTCTTTACTAGTTTGCTTAAAAACAAAAAGCTAAATTTCCTTGAAGTGATATTCAAGTTTCGTTATTAGGTTGCTTGGTAAGGTATAATAAAAATTAGTATCAATTGTAAAATATTAGATTTAAAAAAAAATTTTTTGTTGAAACAAATTGTATTTGAACACTTTTAAAATACATAAAAACAAAACTAGTTCAAAAATAATATAATAAGTAGAATAGAGTAGATTCTCAAAAATTCCTTTTAATTTAAAAAATTGATGGAATAAATGAATATATAGAATAAAATCATTGCATAAAAATTCAACATGAGACTCCTTTGTGTTCAGTATTCGATAACATTCGAGATGGGATTTTTGGAGCTAGTATTTCTTTCTTTACGTTAACTTTTGCATTAATAACCTACATCAACCAGATTTTTCTATTCTTTCAAAAATAATAATATAATAAATTGTGAGTCATTTTTTTGTTGTTGTAATAATTATACTATTATCTCATGAACGGTTAATCCCTTATCTCAAAAACACGATTTATTGTTTGTATTATTGAAAACTTATATTTTCCAAAACGAATCTTAAAACTCGACAAAGGTAAATTTAGCTCGAAATCAGGCTGTTTGTATGAAAAAAAAGCTGTCAGTGATGCGGCAGTCAAACATTTCGGCAATCTCCTCGGGCTGCATGGTTCGAGTTGCTTAACCTTTTCCAGCGATTTGTTTCCCAACTCAAATAAAAATCTCTAAACTCACGCCATAAAAGCCAACCTTTAGTCTCTAATCGAATGCTTTTTTTTCTAATGATCGTCAACCAGGAACTTTGGCCACTGCCTGCCGAGCGAGAGGTCATCCGACACCGACACCTGCAGTCACCTCTGACCCTCAAATACTTCGGAGCAACGTCGCCACCGAGTGCCTCGCTCAAGTCCCTGCTCTCGCCCAGCCTCGACTCGCGGCGCATCCAGATCGCCCGCTGGGAGAGCAGTAAATCTTAGAAGGAGAACGAAAACACGAGTTTTCATCATGCAGATTATCGTAACTCTGGTACGAAACGAAGCAACAACCAGTCACAAATGCGCGGAGCAACAATTAATGACGTCCTAGAGCGAGTGGTACAATTTAAAAATAAAATAAAACGGAGGTGGGGGTGAAAATTTTTTTTTTTTCTAGTCAAGTATCGTACGTGTCTCGCATGTTAATGATAATTATTGTGTGCATTTCGGGGTGTGGGGAAAAGGGAGGATGATGCTGCATTGTTACCCTTACTCTGCGTGCCCTCCCAACCAACTTTGGAAACGTAAATGTGGGGCAAAGGGGAAGGGTAGTAACTGTGTACATATTCGAGATTACATAGAACACGCTATGCTTTTTCGAGGGAAAAAAAAAAAAAAAAAAATTGGTGACATGCAGGACAAGAGCGCGTCCAGCTGATCTGGTGAGAAATTTATTTTTTACGCAAAATTCGATGCAAGGGAGCGAGAGTTATACTCGAAGGGGGAAAACGCGAAAAAGGGACAAAATATAAACTATATAGTAGAGCGGACTTTGTATCCTCACAGAACTGACAACGGCACTTGTTAGAAATGTGGCCGAGGGGTGAAAATTTTAACGGAGAAAACACACGAGTAGAAAAAGCAAGAATGAGAAAACAAACGGGGTAATTGTGAACAGAGATAAAAATAGAGATATAACCAACGACAAATGCCGCAGCTGCTGTGGCGCGTTGAGTATCGTGCTTCGAAGTTGCGCGCTATAAATATTAAATATATGGTTATAAATATATATGAGAAAAAAAAATATAACAGTAACAAAGAAAATAGCTGAGCGCGCGAGAAAAACTCGAAATCGAAACAATAGCGCGTAGGAGCAATTTCTCTCTTCTGCTTCATGCAACTTATGGCTATATACTGAAGCTTTCGCGTTGTAGAGAAGGAGGAAATGTCACGAGGCAGGCGATGCTTGAGTTTTTTCACGCGCCCTATACGATAACACAATACAGTGTACATTTGAATGTCATACACTTGCGGTCACAAGTGTACGGAAGCCCGGTCACAACATCTGCATAAAAACGCTTAAGCACGAACAAGAACAAGTATGTCACCGACAGTTAGCCTCTGAATTTATCATTCTGGTAAAGAGAGCACGGTGTGAGATATACGGGAAGCTATGTGTAGTAATGATAGTAATCACTACTAAGTAGTGCCATATGTTCGATTTTATTAAACCATATAAGTAGAATATCTATACTTTTGGAGGTCGATTTTCGGATAAAAGATGTATTGTATACTTGCTACAAATAGCACAGACAATGTCAACTCTTTTCTAATGTCTATAATAGTAGTTGCGGCTGGTTTATAATCAGTTACATGACTCTACTGTAAATAGTAATAATTATTTGGATCAGCGCCATCTAGCGGTCGTCATTTTTGAGCGAAAAGTGGCCTCTAAAATTCTCAATCAGAGCAGTCAGGATTAGAGCCATTTAGTCAATTATAAACAAGCCGCAACTCATGATGAAGCTATAAAATAAAAAAATAACGATACATGTGTTTTTGGCGGCAAATTAACAATCTATTTTCTACCAAAAAATTGACCTCACATGTATTTGTACTTTTGAAGATAAATTTTGAGTAAAAGATAGATTGTTAACTTGCCGCCAAAAACACATGTATCGTTATTTTTTTATTTTATAGCTTCATCATAAGTCGCGGCTGGTTTATAATTGATTAAATTGCTCTAATCCTGATTGCACTGATGGAGAATTTTAGGAGCCACTTTTGGCCAAATAATAAAGACCGCTAGATGGCGCTGATCCAAATAATTATTACTATTTACAGTAGAGTCATGTAACTGATTATAAACCAGCCGCAACTACTATTATAGACATTAGAAAAGAGTTGACATTGTCTGTGCTATTTGTGGCAAGTATACAATACATCTTTTATCCGAAAATCGACCTCCAAAAGTATAGATATTCTACTCATAAAATTTAATAAAATCGAACATATGGCACTACTTAGTAGTGATTACTATCATTACTACACATAGCTTCCCGTATATCTCACACCGTGCTCTCTTTACCAGAATGATAAATTCAGAGGCTAACTGTCGGTGACATACTTGTTCTTGTTCGTGCTTAAGCGTTTTTATGCAGATGTTGTGACCGGGCTTCCGTACACTCGTGATGTATGATAAAATGTCATTTAGAGACGAAAATTTTTCTTTCGTAACGAAAGACAGATTAGTCGTCAGCCACACTCATAAACACGATTTCATGCACCTCCTCACACGTAAATCCTTAGGCATTTTTATCGTACGAGCTTCAAAAAAATAATAATCCTACATNCGGAGTATGTAATAAATAAATAAATAAAATAAAAAATTTATGAGAAAAAGACAAAGCGACTGTTATATTAATATATATATACATATAGGGTTCTATAGATGCAGTCGCGTTCGTTTTCTCCGCTCTCGTGTGTGGCTTCGTGCAAATATAAATGTCCATTCATACTCTTCATACACACCTTATACTAATACGTGACACTGCGCGAACAGTTCAAGACGGTTCCACACATCAGACTTGGGAGGAAATTTTTAACAGGCTGACATTGCAATGCCGACGCTTGTGCTCTGTGGGGCAAAAAATTTCTAAAAACATAAAAACAAGTACGTGAAGAGACGTGGTTTTTTTTTAGTGACATATTAGATTATATACGTACGCCTGAAAAGGCTATACCATAATTGAAAAAGGATATAGGGTAAACAGTACAAGAGTATTCATTGCATTAGATGTCTGGGATGCAAAATATTTTCTTACGTGATATGAGAATAGGATGTTTGGATGGAATTTATGCGGTTTTGACGCTATTTCAATACATAAGGTGCTCACACCTTATTTCGTCACGTTTCTTTGTAAAGATACAAAAAACGAAATGTATGCGTTTCACATTTTTATTCATTTGTCTGTTTCGATAAATAAAGTTTTACAAGTTCTAGTGTACATGAAAAGCTGCTCTTCAAATTTTTATTTATAGTACTACGTAGAATATTTTCCGGAAGAAATAATTACACATCAATAACTGAAAGTAAAGCTAGAGATTAAAAAATCTGAAGGCTTGTCAATAATGTTTTTCAGTAAATAGTACCTACACGTCTATTCGTCTTTGCGGTTTTTCAAATATCTTAACTGTTGTAAAGTATAGCAAGACAAAATTTATTTAAATTAATTTTTATCATACGAGCTTTACTATCTGAAAAAAAACTGAAATGGAACTCATAGAGTTTGCATTGATAAGCGACGGAACACGTTAGTTTTGAAATGTTCAGAGTTTATGATTATCACGAAATATTCAAAATAACCGATGAGTCAGGTTGAAAAAAAAATCATTAAATTGGTATGATACGAGCCACGTTTACATGATAAATGTGTAGAAAAAAAAAAAAAAAAAAAAAAAAAACATTTATCAGCAAAAAACAACACTACATACTCTAAGTATTTTTTTTTTCTTTAAAAAGAAAAAATGACAAACAAAAAACATGCCGGGGTAAACAAAATGAAGTATAGATTACAAGACCCAAGTAGTGTACATTAATGTGAATTTTTTTTTATAGTGAGTTGTTCTGCACAAAAAAACCTAGAACATAAAACATGATACCACCGTACCGACACTGTTTATGGGAACCGCGCGTTGGTAGTGAAAAACGCACTAAAAAAAAAAAAAAAACGATTAAAAAAACCAAGTCATAAGTGTACGAATGAAAAAAAAACTTTACCTATCGCGTTCACAGTATGGTTATCATCATCAGCTCACTCACTGTCATTTGTATACACATACATACATAAATATATAAATTAATAGTGCACTCGGCTAATTGTAAACTCACACGAGCGCTGCTGCTTCTAACGCTGCTATACTTGTATGTAAATCAATCATCTACCATCGTGGAGATGCTGTTGTAATAATTGTTAAATATATTATCGCCTCGTCACATTGTCGCGTTTGATAAATAATAAACAAAAAAAAACAAAAAACAAAAAAAAAATGAAAATATTAATAAATCAACAAAATATAAATGATAAAATGTGTCGTGCCGCACTGTTGCTTTTTTCATATTTATATAAATTATAAACGATATTAAATAGTTATTGCGCTGCTGCGAGGCAAAAGGCTACTCAGTTCTTATATCCCTTTCCCCTATCTATCCTATTATTTTTATTGTTCTATCATTTTAATCTATGTATAAATCGAAATATATACATATGCACGTAAAAAAATCATATATGTATTATTCGTCGATTCACCGCTGAGTAAAAAAAAAAAAATACTATGTACCAGGCAAAGGGAAGTGAGCGAATAAAAACTTTCAGATGCGTCAAGCTAAAATAAATAAGAATTAAAAAATTTCGCGACTAGGTGACCTTTTTTTCTTTGTTATTGATGTGGATTGCGCAATGAATCGTTATATTGTCGGAACGACCATATTATTATTATTATTATTATTATGGATGTATTTAAAAAAAAAAAAAAAAAATTTGCAGTATACAAATTAAATTGAAGGTCCTAGCTGCAAATGTTGAAAGAAAAAAAATACATAATCTGCTCGTTAACTAAATAAAAAAGAAAAAAATAAATAAATAAAAGATTAAAATAAGGCAGATTACAGAGTTACGGTTCGCTTGAAATTAAAATATAAAATATGATGGTGGAAATGAATAAAATAATACGTTCTACACGAATATTGATATACATAAGAGCGAGAAAAAAAAAAACGTCTTTTTTGAGATATTTGCAATTAAAAATTGACGAAAATATGAGGACAGAGCTTGCGCGCTCATTAATACTGCGTAGTCAAGATTATTACCATATAAGTTCATGGAGAGAGATCAAGTATTATAATTGTATATGGAGCAACGGAATGACATAACACAGTGTAACTATATACCTGCCTCTTGTGAATAAAAGTCTATTTGTTTCTTTTGAATAATTTTATTTGTTCACGTGATTAAATGTAACCTTTCAATGACTCATAATTCCTACACTATTGGTATTTTTTGTCATAAATACGGAACAATTCCTTCATTTGATTTTATATAGGATTTTGTATCAAATTTTTCTATAAAATTTTTAAGCCCATATTATGATGATCGTTTTTAGTGTCCAAGTGGTGATGTAGCAGTTAAAATTTTTAGCAAAAAAAAAAAGTAAGTGCATCGTAATTTTTACGATGAATTTCACACTTAGCAGAAATTTTGTATTTTACAATATACTACTTTCGCACTTTCACGATTCATATTAAAGCATCTTTGTTATTGTTGACATACATTCTTTTACCAGGAAAGCCAACTATACTAGGAACACAACCTTTGCAACTAACAACAAAGTTAGAAAAGAAAATACTTTAAGCAACCATAGAAAAGCTGGAGTCTTTTGAAATACAAAATCTGCAGTGAAGTTATAAAGAGTTCAACAAAACAACACAATTATTTAGTGTTGACATTTTTTAATTAGGCTTGAACAGTCTAAAAACGTCAAGACAATCAAGATTTGGTAGTCAGCTGTAGCAAGACTTGATAAAAGCTTTAAAATCAACGATAATCAACAAAAACTATAATAACGACAACATTCATCCTAAAAAATATGGTAACATAAAATTTACGCTAAGATCAATTGGTGGAGTTAAATGAGTGACTTACGCTTATATGTGATACTTAATATGATTTAAAATATAGAAAAATAAAAGTTAAGGTTAAGCTAAGGTACTCTTCCTCCGAGCGTGAAGATTAAAGTTAGTCTTCCTCCAAACGTGGTGAGCAAAGCTATTCTTCATCCAATCATTCTAGTCTCGTGAGGTAAGCTTTTTTTTGTTCGTACGTAGTGAGTTAAACTTGTATACATCCGAACGCAACGAGATAAGCTAGTCTTTACGCGGCCTCGTGATGAGCTAAGCTTTTCTTCCTCAGCCACTGTACGTACATTTATGATGAAAATCATTGTTTGTCTCATCATTTATAATAAAACCAAATCAGACAAAATCATAAAACTCAAACTC